GCTCTTGTCCCAAAGGTCCCTAATCCCACATCTGTTGGGGATTTCAGACCTATCTCATGCTATAACATTTTTTTATAAGGCTATTGCTAAGATCATTGCAAATAGGATCAAGGTGGTTTTGTGGAATATAGTTGGTAACAACCAAGCTGCTTTATGCCTGGGAGTAGGATTGGGGATAATATCCTTCTCACCAAAGAAAATTTTGAGGAACTACCGTAAGAATAATGAGACTCCCAGATGTGCTGTTAAGGTTGACCTCATGAAGGCTTATGACACTTTGAACTGGGATTTCCTTCGTGATATTTTGGAGACCTTCAATTTTTCCCTTATTCTTAGAACCTGGATCAAAGCCTGCATCTCTACCCCCAAATTCTCTATTAACCTTAATGGTGAATTGGTTGGTTTCTTCTCCAGTACTAGAGGCATTAGACAGGGGGACCCCCTTTCTCCTTATCTCTTTGTTATGGACATGGAAGTTCTCACTCTCATCAATCATCATCTCGTCTCCACATGTCAGGGTTTTAAATTCCACTGGAGATGCTAAAAGATTAAACTAACCCAACTTACTTTTGCTGATGACCTCTTTCTTTTTTGTTTTGGGGATTTCAGGTCTGCTAGCTACTTAAAAAAGGCTTCGACTTGTTCCAGCATATGTCGGGCCTTCAAACTAATCCCAGGAAGAGTAATATTTTTTTGTCTTCTGCCAGCGAAGAGGTGAGGGCCTCCATTAAGACGGTTTTTTCGGTTTGAGGAGGGGGATTTGCCTATCGAATATTTGGGTCTACCCCTTATTTCTTTGAGACTTAAAGCTGCCCATTGTTATCCCCTTCTTGAGAAAACGGAAGCTAGATTCAGTAGCTGGACCAATCGAAGCTTGTCTTATGCAGGAAGGCTCCAATTGATTCATTCTGTGTTGTTTAGTTTATAGCTTCACTGGGCTACTCATCTGAAACTTTCCCAACAACTTCTTGATAGGGTTGAACAGCTTTTAAGAAGATTCCTGTGGAAGGGTACTGAGCTCATCAATTATGGTGCTAAGGTTGCTTGGAGTGATGTATGTAAGCCTAAAGGGGAGGGAGGTTTAGGTATCAAGAACCTGAGGCAGTTTAATGATGCTTTAATGCTCAAGTATTTATGGAAACTCTTTACAGACAAGCAAAATATATGGTGCATATGGATTCATTCTTATCATTTATATGGTAAAAGTTTATGGGAGGCAAAGCGGTCACAGTCTAGTTCCTGGAATTGGGTCCAAATGCTCAAACTCAAGGACCTCATCAAACCTCACATGGTGCATATTATAGGGAATGGTTCTAATACTTCCCTATGGTTTGACAACTGGCACCCAAGTAGGCCTTTACTTGGTGCATGGGACCAGCACATCTTTAACACATCAAAACTTCCGAAGGATGCTAAAGTGTCTATAATCATAGATAACAATCATTGGGCATGACCGGTGGGTAGATCTAGGATATTGGATGGCCTTAGTTGCTCTATGCCCAATTATTCACCAGATTCTACAAAGGAAGACTTTATCAAATGGACCCCAAGTCGGATGGCAAATTCACCACTGAATCTGCATGGAACATCATTAGGACCTTGAACCCTAAAGTACCTTGGTACAATCTGGTCTGGCATGGACATCTTATTCCTAGAATGAGTCTCATTCTTTGGTTGGCTATCAAAAATAGATTAAGTACAAAGGATAGGATCTCCTCTTATGCTCCACAGGTGGACTCCTCTTGCTCCTTATGTCATCAACTCCCAAAATCTCACAACCATATGTTCTTTGAGTGCTCCTATGCTTTTGGTATTTGGACTCGGCTGTTGCAGCAATGTCTCCAGCTTCCTCGAGTTGTTCAATGAAATGTCTTCATTGCCTGGGCAAGTGATAATTGGAAAGGAAAATCATTGAAGGTTGTTCTTCTCAAGCTCTATCTCTCCGTCACTGTTTACAACTTATGGAGGGAGAGGAATGATAGGATTTTAATAATCGGGTTACATCTCAACAAAATTTGTTTTGCAGAATTCAGTCAACTATCAGAGGAAGACTTTCTCTTCTTAAATTCAAGGCTAATCCTCAGAATCTGCTCTTGGTGCATCATTGGAACCTCTCCTCTATTCTTGTGTGAGTATTTATATGCTCTGCTTTCGCCTGGTATGGGTTGTTGTTCTGTTGTTGATCTGTTGCGGGTGGCTGTGCTGTGGCTTGGGGCTGTTTGCGCATCTCTGTGGTTCCCACTGTTTTTTCTCTGCTTTTTGGTCACTTCTCTGGCCTTCTTGCAGAGCGGGGTTTTTGCTAGCTGGATTGTTTCCTGATCGTTCTAATTGTTGATACCTGGTGCATTTTTTTTCTGTTCAGTCGACTGTTCAGCATTGCTGGTCTTTCTAGTGCTAGAAGTTGTTCCCAGTTGGCAATTTTTTTCGGGTATTGGGCTGTCCTCTTGTGTTATGTGGGGTTGTTTTGCCTTGGTGTGCTGCTGATTGGGGCTGGAGCTGATCTGCTATGTTGTGCCATTGTCCTGCTAACACTTTGCTGCCATGTTTTTGTAGTAGTATGGGCTGATCAACGCATCTCAGCTCGCTGGCTTCATCTTTATCCCTTTGTGGCTGCTACTGCAGCACTAGCTTGTAGCTACTGTTTGGGAATTGAAGTTGTTTACAACATTGGCGTGCTTGTGGAGCTGGATTTAAAGGTTCATGATGTTGTTTGGCCTTTGTGGCTTTGTGTTGGTGGACCTATGCAGTGTTGCTGTGCCTGCCTCCCACTGTTGCTAGCCTTCTTCTTCATCATGATCAGTTGCCTTCTACTTCTCTCAGCTGGATTGCAGCTGGGTTTCACATTAGTTTTGGGGGACTGCACATTTCTGGCAGCTTTACTGTTCACGTGACTGCTCATGTGAACAGTAAATGCTGATTTTTGTCTCCCCTTAGCTGGAATTTCTCAGAGCTGCTATTGGGTTTTGTGGACTGTCCTATTGGTTCTTGCAGCTGGTTGTTGCGGCTGGTTTGGGTTTGTGGACTGCTTCAAATTATGGCTCACATGTTCCTTGGTGCTGCTTTTCTGTTGCTAATACATGCTATTGGCTTGCATCTGGTTTGCTTGTGGCGCAGAATTGGCCCTGTTTTTAGTCTGTTTCTGTTCCAATGTTTACTTTTGTCAACAATTCTGTGGGAGATACCCTTACTCAGGGCATCTCTTACAGACTTGTGTTTTGAAGCCTTGGCTTTTGGGTTTTGTTGGTTGTTTTGAGTCTTACGTGACTTCACTGTACAAATTGTGGGTGATTACCCTTGTATTTCTTGTTTATTTTAATACATTTTACCTTCCGAAAAAAAAAGGTAATAAATTCTAATGTTAGTTCTTATGAAAGACTTTTGGTGTCATCCAAGAAGTGAAGTTGTACTTATTCTAGCCAATTAGAAACCAAACATTAAATCCTAAAGCAAATGGATAAAACAAGAAACTTACAACAACTGCAAGGAAAAACAAGAAACTATAATAAACAAGGATAATCCATCAGGATATGCCATTAGTTCCTTTTAAACTAAAAAAATAAAAGACAAAAGATAGGAAACCTGTAGGAATGAATAAGATTACAACAGTCCGGTGAAAAATAAACAAGCCAAAATCAAATATTTTGCATCATGTTTATCAAAATTACTATTGAACAGTGGAAACCCGAGTTCTTCTTTACAAAGTAACATTTGTTCAAGCCATTGTGACCTGAGGGATAGTCAATTCCCCTGAAATTTAACAAAAGGAGACCCGAGCATTCAATAATAATCGTCAAGAACACATATATCAGACATTTGATCAATTTCTAAAAATGAAATCCAAACTTTCTAAGCAAAAATTGGAAATTGACATGGGAGGGAGAGAGATAGAACATAATTCCATTTTGGCCGCGGACAGAGAGCAGAGAGGCGAGCGTCTGTGTGTGTGATTTCGTGTGTAAGATTATGAGTGTGAGAAGGTTTAGCTATGAGTGGTGCTTGTGTGTGCGTGATTTTGTGTGTAAGATTGTGTGATTTGATCCGAGAGAGAGAGAGAGGGGCCACTTACCTGGGTTGCCGCTGCCGGTGGTGATCATCAAAATCTAGACTGGAGAGATAGAGAAAGAGAAGCAGCAATTGGGTATATTATGCTAGGGTTTCAAAACGTTGGCTTTTAGGGAAGGATTAAAGTGATGATGTCATTTTAGTCTATTAAATAATGATTTAAGATTAAATGATTTGTGATAAAAAAATATTTGTCCCCCAAAAAACTATTAAAAATTATGTGACAAACATTAGTTGTCCCTAACTTTATTCTTTGTTATTTTTTATTTTTCTTTATTTGTCAAAAAATTTGCAACAAAAAAATATTTTTGGTGACAAAAAATTCTATCGCTAATAGAATTACAATTTAGCGCCAACATTTGCGCCAAAAAATTTTGGGGGAAATTTTTTTTGCTAAGACTTCTAGCAACGACAAAAAAAATTTATCGCCAAAAATATAATAGAAAAGCTTTTTATGATGAACTTTTAAAATTGTCGCCAAAATTTGTCACGAAAAATCAATTTTCTTATAGTTTGTGTTTTGGGTTTGGGATCGCCGTGAGATTGAGTATTTAAATAAATTAATTGAACAAATTAATAACACCAACGTTCACAAATTCATTGGATCGTGGTGACTAAAATGAGTTCTTACCATTAATTGCTAAATTCAAGTAAGAAGAGGTAATTGACATATAGTTAGATTTTAATTTGTAAAAGATTGTGCTTAAAATAAAAAAACCTATCCACCCCTCTCTAGGTAGTGTTATGTGCTCCACGTGTATAATCATGAGGAAAGATCCACATCATTTCTCTCTGTTGGAGTATAGATAGTCTAGGTTTATTAGGATTTTTTTTCCCTTTTTTACCCTTACTATGATTTTTATATTTTGCCTATATATACGGGGTTTTACTCTTAATTTGAGTATCTCCTTTTACTCACAATTATTTCAAGTTGGTATCAGAGCCATACACTAACCCTACCCCAAACCCTAACCTTCTCCCCAACCTTAGCCTCCACCGAGACTGCCTCACCGGCAAACTGCCTCTAAGCAAAACCAGCCACCGCTGAAACCACCCTGGCCATCAGCTGCCCAGCGAAACCGACCAAACCAGCGACAAAACCAGTCCACCTACTGCCCATACCAGGCCACACCGACAGCCCCAAAGTCCATACACCGACGGCCCAGGCAACAAACAGTCTTCCGCCGACAGCCGTATCCCAGACAAACCAGTCCATACCAGTCCACCACAACCTGCAACAAACAACCTCAATCCATACTATATACTGCTATATACGATCATCGCACGATCACGAACACAAGAGTAAACCAGTAGAAACAGCCTCATAGAACGGTGAGTTCTAAGTCAGGACGGGGAGTTCGTGTTTATGAGCTTTCTCAGGAGCTCTCATATGCTCGGCAGGGAGATATGACAGTTCAGGATTATTATGGCTATTTGACCCAGCGCTGGCTTGAGTATGAGTCTCTACGTCTTCTTGCTGCTATTCCGAAGATAGAGCCCGATGGAGCAGCATTCTTGTATACTCGAGAGCAGGAGGATAGGATTCACAAGTTCCTTATGGGGCTTCGTGATGAGTTTGAGGGACCTCGTTCTCAGATCTTGTCGATGTTGACACTTCCTTCTCTTTATGAGGTGTATGGGATGATTGAGCAGCATGAGCGTCGAGTCCGTATTGCATCACTTCCAGTTGCAGCTTTGCCTCCTTCGATTGACCAGATGGCCCTTGCAGCTGCTGTAGGGTCCCGTTCAGAATCCTTAGTCAGGGATAGGCAACGCTCAGACCAGCGCCGTCAGGGCGCCCCAGATCAGCGCAGACGGGGGGATTCCCGTCAATGTGATTATTGTGGCCGACCAGGACATCTCAGGGCTACTTGCTGGAAGCTCCATCCAAAGCTTAAGCCACCTTCTCGCAGCCGTACTGTTGCTATTGCTGAGGTACCACCGCCCACTGCCGCCACTCCTGCTACTGCTCCTCCTTGGCAAAGTGATATGGATGCTATCACTTCCCGATTAGATATACTTATGTCTGCTCTGACTTCTCAGAGTCTGACTACTGCTGCTGTCACCACTACAGGTATATCTCGTGCCTTTCACGCTTGTGCCAGTTCATCTCCCCTTTGGATGTTGGACTCGGGGTGCGAATGGTCACATGACAAGTGAGGCCCATCACTTCACCACTTTTGACGAGCCATTACATACACAGGTTCAGTTAGCAGATGGAACACATGCCCCTATTGTTAGTAGGGGTACAGTCCGTCTCCCAGATGGCCTTACATTACATTCGGTTTTTCATGCACCAAAGTTGGCCATGAATCTATTATCTGTACATCAGTTAGCCAGAGATTTTCACTGTGCGGTTGTATTCTTATCTGATTCGTGTTATTTGCAGGACCTGAGTACCAGAAGGATTATTATCAAGGGACATGAGAAAGATGGACTGTATTATCTTGGCAATCCATCTCCAGTTTCACCAATTCCTTCACCTGCACCTGCTTTGTCTTTTTCTGTTCCTAGCTTGCATGCTAGTATTTTACCTAGTAGTTGTCGTTATGATTTTTCGTCACAAACTGTTCAATTGTGGCATGACCGTTTTGGACATACAAATTTTAAATATTTATGTATGTTGTTTCCTGCTTTGAGTAATGCTTGTGTTGGTGGTAAACTTGATTACGTTATCTGTTCCCTATCAAAACATGTTAGGGCCAATTATATTCCTCGCATGCACCAGTCACCCAAGCCATTTGACCTAATACACTCTGATATTTGGGGACCCTCTCCCGTTACTGCTCTGTCAGGTGCCAATATTATGTGACATTTATAGATGATCATACCCGTTGTACTTGGGTCTACCTTTTGCATAGGAAGTCTAATGTGCTCCCTATAATCACTCAGTTTTTACAGATGATTAAGACACAATTCGATGTCATTGTTCGTGCTCTTCGTTCGGATAATGCCAAAGAATATGTGTCTGATGCTTTAGTGTCTCACCTTTCTTCTCAGGGTATCCTTCAGCAACTCACTTGTCCATATACTCCTGAGCAAAATGATGTTGCTGAGAGGAAAAATAGGAGTTTGATAGGGATGGTACGTTGTCTGCTTAGAGGCATGAGGGTACCAAAATCTTATTGGCATTTTGCTGTTTTGACTTCTACCTTTATGTGCAATCGTACGCCGAGTCGTGTTCTTCAGCATAAGGCTCTCTTACAGGTCTTATTTCCTGAGCGGACACTTTTTCCGGTCCCCCCTCGTGTTTTTGGATGCACATGTTTTGTTCAGGATCGGTCTCCTACTCGTCATAAACTTGATGATAAAGCGATTCGTTGTATCTTTGTGGGCTATTGTCATCAATCTAAGGGGTATCGATGTTATGATCCTATTAGGCGTCATATGTATCACAGTCTAGATGTTACCTTTCTTGAGCATATTCCTTATTTTCCTTTCAGTCCTTTGTCTGCCCCTTCAGTTGATGATACTCCCTTTGATTTTCCATTACCACAAGAGTTAGAGTCATTGATCACTATCCCTACAGGGTCATCCGTTTTTCCTCCAAAGGAGTCACGCATCCCTGTCAGTACAGAGTTACCAGTCTCTCTTCCTTTGCAGGTGTATGCTCGTTGTCCTCGCTCTCATCACCCTACTGATATCCCCTCTACCTCAGGCGATGCAGGTAATACTTCTCAGTTTGTTGAGCATATTGATGCACCTGTTGTTAGTACTGATGAGATTATAGGTGCTGAGCCAGTTACTTTACCTGATAAGATATTATCAGTAGAGGATGGTGATTTAGGGCGTCGTTATCCAAGGCGTGATCGCCGTCCAGTTGATCGATATGGTTGGACCGCAAAGATTTTATATCCGATCTCTGCTTATGTTTCTTATGGTAATCTGTCTCTCACATTTCGAGCTTATACTATGGCCTTATCAGATACGCTGGTTCCTCGCTCTATTTCGGAAGTTATGCGGGAGTCCCAGTGGGTTCTTGCCATGCAGACAGAGATGGACGCTCTTCAGCGTAATCATACATGGGATCTTGTCTCCTTACCTTCAGGGGTGAAGCCTGTTAGCTGTCG